CAGACAGAGAGGGGTGACGACTGAACCCCTTGACGGCTACCTCGATCCAAGCCTGTACCTCATGCAATCAGGGCAAAAAGTTGTCCAGGTGTTTATCTTCACTCTTCACCCTGTTGCTGTACCCTGAGTGGGAGAGCTGGGTGTGCATCGCCTGCACGAGATGGCTGCAGGCTCTGCAAGCTGGCGGAGCATCCCCCATCCTGAGTTAGTCCTGGTCCTGTGCCATGTGGACCACTCCAAGGGCAGCGAGTACCTGCCCTTTTCCCACAGCCTGCAGCTGTGTTTGCTTTGTGCCTCTGGAAAGCCTGACCCGTCGGGACTTCCCAGCTACCAAGCTAGTAGCAGTGGGACCAGCAGCAGGTCTGCCTTGCTCCAGGGCTGGTCACACCCCTGAATGGAAGCTGGGACATTCACTTGGCTACTGATGCACGGGCCACGCTTCCCAGGCATGTCCCCCAAACTTTCTGACCCCGCTCAGCTTGTCCAAGGACTGAGATGATTGTCAGGTGAAGACTGTCTAAACAGTGTGCAGGAGCAAGAGCAGACAGGCAGAAAACGCAGGAACCGTCACGGTGAGCTTCTTAGGAGCTCAACCCAGGGGTGGTGGGTGAAGCTTGAACAGACAGAGTGTGTGTGCTGGGGCAGAGCCAGGGGGGCAGCTGCTCTGGGGTGGGGGCAAGGCTTTAACCAACTGCATTGCACCCCCTCTGACCTTTCCTTCCCTGATCTCCTCCTCAGCCCACGCTGAGGGAGCCAGTGGCCTTACCGGGAGGCTATTCTGGTGAAGTGCTTATAGGCGTTCTCCTTGGTGGGCTGCAAGGATTTCAGCATGCCGCGAAACTCTGCGTCGTACCGCTCGTTGATGTCGTCACCGATGATGGCCAGGCGCCTTCCCACCCGGCTCCCGGTGCTGCCCAGAGGGAAGATGGCATTATGGATGGGTCTGCCTTCACAGCAAGACCGGTAAGTAGGACCAAGGGGTGGGTCCGTAAAGGAGCCTGGCTCAGGATGAGGTTGAGGGACGTGCATAGGGTTGGTATCAGAGTTTTACCTGTCCAGCTCCTGCTGGATCTCCTCGATCTCTGGGTCCATGGGCACTTCCTCCCGTCTCTCCGCTCTCTCCTGTTCGTAGCGGTAGAAGGCATAGCTCCGAAACACCTCCTCCGTCTCCTTCACCACCTGGTCTTCTGAGGGGGAGAGAGACAAGAGGAAGGAAAGTCAAGGGAAAAGCTCATCTCTCCCCTTTCCCAAGTTGGAAAGAGACCATTCCTTCATTTTCAGCCTAAATTTGTGCTGTTTGTATTAACACTGGTCTTTTGCAATAAAACAAAAAGAATCCAACATAAATTAGTTCTCAGAAAACTAATTTTGAAGCCAGCCTTCGTTCTTAGGGGCACAAGCCCACCTTTTGAATCCACTTTTGGCAAGAGACAGCTAAAGGACTGTCACAACACAAACCAGATGTTCAAGTGCTTGTGCTCGGCAGCTCTCTCCCCGTGACAGCACCTCTCAGTAAGGGCATTGCTCAGCACAAACAAGTTCAGGAATCTCAGACCCAGACCCAAACTGGAGGCAAAGCTGAGTCTAGCACTGCCCATCAACCCTCAGCAAACAATCTTGTTTTTCAGCGTCACCAACGATTGTGCCCTTGCACGGCATCAGCAATGACGTTAAATCGGTCATTTTAGTATAATTCCTTGCCACTTCAATCACACATCACTGGTCTCACATACACCCATCACCGTGGCAGTGGCAATGCCAGGGCAGGGTTTGCAACTTCTGCATGGGCTGCTGGCAGGAACAGAAAGGAGAGGAGCTTTTGAATAACTGGTAAACTGTAGCCCAGAGAGGTGACTCCCCATCCTGCGCTTGAAAGCAGATAAACAGCCAGGTGATAAGTTTGAACTGAATGCCTGCTCCTGCTCCAGCACACCCATTGCCACTGTGCAAAAGCAGGCACCCAGATCCCCTGCTTTGCTCACAAATACCCGTGGAAGCAATACGCCCATTGCACGGTGAGCGGGAGGCTGCGGCTGGGGAGGGGGCGAGCCGGGGCTGTTGTGGGGGGAGGCTGGGGCTGGTTTTGGGTGCCACAGCTTCCTTCCCCTGCTCCCCTAAACAAGCAGGGCTCGGCATGCCAGGTATTCAGGGTTCAGCGGGGGAACATGCCCAGGCAATAACGTCACCCAGCCCCGACAGCGCGCGAAAACCGACCCGGCTCTGTGCAAGCAGGAAGCGAGTCAGAAACAACCGGCGTCAACAAGTGTGCGCCCGTCTGCAAACGGCTTGAGGTCAAGACCCACACGCATGTCCCCCATGACCACGCTGCCTGGGGAAGAGCAAGGGTCTGGACGTGGCCAGGACCTGCCCCCTCCGGAGCAGGGAGCCCCCGGCGAGGCGTTTCTGTCCCGTAGGTACCATGGTGACTGATACCTTATCACATGTGTTACATTGCTCCTGGGGAAAGTACCCGGTCTGTCACGGGATGTCTTTGATTAGAGCTCGGTTTCAGCTGGCTCGAGAAGCAATCTGGGCTAGAGCACCGGTTCCCAAACAGCCGGCAGCCCAGCTAAGTCACCCCACAGGGCTCGGGGGGAGCTGGCCCTAAGGTCCCAGTAACACAGTTCTTCCCAGTTTCTTTTTTCTAAGATGTAAAATTTGTAGGGGACAGAAATGGTATGGACGGATCAGAGCCCTGCTGCTTTAACAGGGTATCACCATTCACGGTGGAGATTACAGACATTAAACGAGGCGCAGAGCCCAGGTAAATGAGCTACTTGGGGGAACATCAGAAGCGCAGGACCCTGGAGACCCGTGGCTTTAGATCATCGTCCTGCAAGGTGTGCTGGTGACACGCAGCAGCACATCTGCACCAGCAACACTGTCTAGCAGCAGTGCAGCTCGCTGCAGCCAACCCAGCTAAAACCCTTTCCCAGCATCCTAGTATATCCACCCGCCAGACTGGCCATGCAGTTCTCTGGCCACTGGAAATTGCATTTCCAATGCAGAGATGCTCCTGCCTGAGCAATGTCCCAGGGCTGGGGTGTGAGGACCTGGCCTGGTGGACACAGCTGTCCTGGCAGTACTGCCCCATAAAACCCTGTATCCAAGTCTCCAAGGCATGCCACGCCGCTCGTTGCAGAGGTTTTCTGGCTGGTCACATCTACACGGCCCGCATGGGGCTCTGGGGAGATGGGCCCAGCCCCGGATGGGGTGCGGGGAAGGGAGAGGACCTGTCGTGCAAAGACTCAGGTTACGCAGAGTTCAGGTTGGGTAAATAAAGGTGAAGGGAAGTGACAAGTCCTCGTTGCTGTGTTTTCAGGGGATTGTTTTTTGTTTTGCAGGAACAGGTCTATTTGGCGGTAAACAAATCCCACCTTATGGAGGAGCCCGCGGAGCCAGTGACCGCTCCACCGAGAGCCAGAAAATGAAACCGACTGACTCACAGTTTCAGCGAGAGGCAGGGTAAACACACTGCGAGAACAAAAGAGGAAATAAGTGTACCAAAAAAATTCCCTGGTTTTAATTACCCCAGGCACTATTTTTAGTAACACAAGGACAGGCGAACACACATCTTCTTTCCCCCCAGGTGCTAACCCACAGCATGCGCTGGGACCATCTCTGGGTCTCTTCCACTCAAAAGAAGAGGATCTGGATCAAGATTTGCCTTGTGGACTCCCAGTACCAGCAGCAGAGAGGAGGAGAGCGGTTTGGAGCTCCGCTGGGATCTTTGGGCTCCCTGTGGGATCACTGGGGCCGTGTTAGGGGGCTCACGAGCTGCTATGACCCCCCACACTGCAAGGGAGGACCTGCTCCCCTTCTGCTGCATGAAGCAGCGACCCTGTCGTCCTCGGTCCCCAGCGCACTCCCAGCATCTAGACCAGACCTACCCCAACAGCGTCTTGCCTGGATCCACACCGTAGACAACACTGACCAGACCCCAGCCAGTCTCAAACACGCAACGCCTGCATTTCTGTGCAAGATCCTTTGTTTCTCACCGTTCCTATCTCCCAGGGAGCAGCTGTGCTGCAGTAAAAACTGGCAGGTCTCACCAAAGTTATCCATCAGACCTTGTTACAACTAAATTAAATAGCCCTGCTACAGACTGTAATAATGACAGATGCAACCTGGCAGCATCCCTTTCGAGCTCCGGAGCCAGGCAGTAACTACACGAAGAGGTGCATCTGTTTGCACAGAGGGAGATATCCAGCCTGGAAACAGCAACTGGCTCCGAAGGGAGAAGACAGCTCCGGGGAACCAAGAACGGTCTCTGGAGATTTCTGCCTCGAGGGGAAGCTTGACTCCACCTCACGGTAGTTGCAATTCATGTGTGGGATGAGCAGTATCTGCGTTAATGGATTTGGGTTAGCTTCCACCGGGCAAGGCAGCCCCTTGTGAAACCTATTGCCTGTCAACAGCAATGCCATCCAGGATCGAAGGCTGATCAGCCTGACACTGCATCATGCTGGCATAATCCTGCACAGCTTGCACCCGAGAGCAGAGCTTCTAGACAGGGGAATGGAAAACTGCCGTCCCCGGAGGCATCTGCACAGCACAAAGCCCTTCCCCTTATTCTGCTCTTCAGAACAAATATCTTCCCACCCAAAAGAGAAGCAATATTCTCAAACAGTCTCCCTGCAGAACTACTGGGCAAACACTCTTGGTTTTAAGGTAGAAATTAATCTGTCAATAAGGGAGATTCTCTGGTCCAGATTCTGGACTGGACTCAAGAAATCTGCTTTAATTCTTACATTCAATGGTGTCCCACCAACACACCCAGAGTTACAGGCTTACAGCAGGGGCTGAGGGCTGCAGCGAGGTTTTTGCTCTAGTACTTTGCTGCCCAAGCTGGGACCTGTCCCATATTTGCTAATCTACTCAACCGCAAAGGGAGGCTGGGCCCAGTGCTCAGCCGGATGCCTGAGATGGGTGGGCATCTCTGGCAATGTGTCTCCTTCTGCCCCATCAAGTTTTTAATAAAAAATTTTTTGGGGCATCCTTTGCAGGCCAGAACAAAGGAGTCACGAGGCAATTCCAAAGCAGAGGTTTTTCCCAGCGCAGCCATCAGAAGGATGACTTTTCCTTTTAAAAACCGAAACCACATATTGATGAGAGATGCAGTTCAACGGGAAGTCCAATACTCTGTGTCTGTGCTGGAGATAGGAACTGCATGGGCACCAAACAAGAGACAAGGATGTTTAAATGGTTTTGGTTGCTCTACAGAATGTATGAGAACCCAGGCTTAAACAGGCAGCTCACATTTTTCCTACTCATTTTGCAGCTGGTCTTGGAGATGAAGACGCAGAGATGCTCACAGACGTATGACTAACATCCCTAAGCAACTATTTATCAGTTCATGACTGGCTTCACATGCAATGTCAAGTCCAGAGCTAAGACAAACAACCAAGGACCAATCCTCACACCTCTCTAGGTATGTTACGTGAGTATTAAACACACAGACAGATGAGAAAGCCCAGGTAATCTGAGGTAAGAGAACAGTTGCCAATCTGACACTGCAAACAGAGTCAGGGTGGCTGGGCTTCCCATGCACCACCCTGACACCTTGGACACCCTTGCGGAGACTTGCATCAAAGCTCTCTCCGTTTCCCTAGTAGTAATAAGTGGATATAGCAACACATCACCTTTCTTAACAAAGTGCTTTGGGATTCCAGCCGACGGGGTCCACACAGGAGCTAAGTGTGACCACATAAACGATATTTTCGTCACGTGGACTGGCCCCTCTGCAGTCTAGGAGAGCTGAGCTGCATTTGGCGTAGTTACCTGCAAGCGTGAGGACAGCCACATCCACGGCTTGTCCCGCAGATCTGAGCCTCGATGTATCCAAACCATTCCCACAGCTGCGTGCGTACCCTGGCAGCAGGTTTGAACAGGGAGGCTCTGCCACCCCCACGTTACAGATGAGAACTGAAGGAGGGCAAGGTTAATGCTCTGAAGTATGAGCCCTGTTTCCTGAGCTCAGCTCAGCACTGTTGGTGCTGGGCCTCTCACTCCTCCTTCTGCAATGTTTGCTCCCCTTTTGCATGACTCTTCATGAGCTAAGTTGCTCCTCCTCTTCATCACGTACAGCCAGGAGTATGAAGCTCCTGCCTTCGTCTACAATGCCCTAAAAACACCACAAGTGCAAATTGCCACCCAACCTAGACAGAAACAGCAGCATCTTGTCCGTGCCCTAAGCAACGGCTGGTACAACAAGGGCTCAGAACGATGCTCATGCAAATCCTTGAGCAGCAGATAAATCTCTTTACTCCCTACCGCATCCAAAGACAAACGAACGGAGCAAGTGAGCCCTAAACGAAGACCAGGCTTAATACCTGTTGACGAAAGCCTTCTGCCCTGTAATCCCACAGCACGTGTTGGTGGAAGCTGCACATTTCTGCTTCTGCTGGAGTCCATGAGGCTTCTACCTAAGAGGCGTGCAGAGATCCCACCTCCAAATTCCAGATGGACCCCCCTGAGTTTTGGGAAGCAGAGGGATGCCAGTACTGCCAGTAAGTGTTTGCAAGCGCACAGGAAGCGTGACTGTAAAACAGTGTGGTTAGAGTTCAGGGCCTGATCCTCTCACTGGTTTTCACATCAGCATCTCATTGGCCTCAACAGGAAATCAGCATATGTAAACAACTGCTCTTATTTATTTATTTTCATACCTTGTAGACTTTGGTAAGGGAAGGAGACGGTATTTTTTTCTTCCAGTGTATTCATGCAGGATCTAGCACAAATGGTACTCTGAGATGGAGAGGAGTCCAGGCAATACCAGAGTATAAATATTGTAATCAGGCCAATAAAACAGCTCTGAGCTGGATCTGAGCTCAAATACGTAAACACTTAGGTGTAGCTTCAAATCTCCATTATTGACAGAGCTGCAGTGACTCAGCCTTATTTACAAGTCCACCTGCAAAACAGGTTAAGAAGCCACCCGTGTTTAACAGCTTTCTCTGCAGTGGCATTTTATCATTTTGGGATGAAACGGGAGCTGAGGTTTTTCCTGGGTTCCGTTCGTCCCCGTTCCTGGTTTCACCCATTAGTGTGAAACACAATTACACAGTCTGCTGGGCTCGGCACGCACGAGCAACGGACTGAACTGCTTCTGAATGTTGGTGAGCTGTAACTCTTCATCGCTGCTATGCCAAGGCACACCAGAGACCTGATTTCATCCAGCAGCCGATGCAGCAAGACTGAAACCAACTGCCTGAGACCAGGCACTGCTCAGCAAGGCCTGTTTTTCTGTGTGTTTTAAACATCAAGCACCTTTCACTCCCTTGTGCTTAGGGAAGGGAAAGTAAATGACACCAGGCACCAGCCGTACATCTCGCAGCCAGCCGGGGCGATCTGCCCTATGCCCAAACCCCTGTGCCACTCCGCTGTGCCTGCCTCAGCCTGCCTGCACAGAGCTGCCAGCGTACCCCAGTCCAGCAGCTCCCTGCACACTATTTTCTCCATGCCTTTCAGGCCCCCCTTGCTGCCCACCGCGCTAATCCAATGCCAAGCATCTCCCAAAAGCATTGGGCATGTGCTCTCCAAGTTCAATTCAGCATAGCTTTACGGAACTGATTTGTTATCCCAGTCTTGCAAAGGGCCCTGGAGGTATGAAAAAGACCATCTTTTCTCAAAGAAACACAGCAGGGGAAAAAAAAAACCAAAGAAAGAATGGGTTGAAAAATGCTTCCTCCCCTGAATATCACAGCAACCTTTTTACCTGAGTTGAGCTCTTGTGACAGCCTGCGCCCATTGCTTCCCCGGCGTCTGTAGGCCCTCGGTGGGTCACCGTCGTTCCCTGAGGCCATTGCAGAGAGATGCTTGGGAGTATCAGCTTTACCTGGAACAACAAAGGACAGTAAGTGAACCAGGTCATGAGCAGCCAGCAGGGACACTGGAGCCTCTCAGCCCCTTGCTCCCTCACGCACCTCCCAAGCCAGCCTTAGGAAGCCCCTTCGGCTGAGCCAAGTGCTCAGAGGAGCAATGCTGCCTGTTTTTATCTCTGCCAGTGACCTGGCTCCTCCCTTCCCGGCACGCTCGCTCCCTGATTCCTGGCCACACCAAGTCCCTTGGCTAGATTTCTCCTCTCTTCCTGACTCTTCTCAGTAACGTGTTTGCAGACAGTCGTGTGCCAGAAGAGGAAAGCCACCCAACTCCCTACCCCACTTCACCACCTCCCCACCCTTGCTGGAAACCTGCAAGCTATCCTCTGACCCGCTCAGCAAGTGCCACGGGCTACACTGGCTCTTACTCAGCCCAGACAACAGCAGCATCTGCAGTGGCTTCACGCTGGGATGAAAGCAAAAATCACAGCACAAAGGGCTCCGCGACCTCCCCGGCTGCACCCGGAAAACGTGTCTGGGAGCTGAGCCGTGGGGCTCCGCTGCTGCCTGAAATGCTGCTACCCCGACCTGCAGCCACGACGGTTCAGAGTGCAGCAAGAGCAAACCAACCCGCGAGCACACCGAGCTGCCGCGGCTCCCGTGCGGAGCTGCAGCGACCGTGCCGATCTCTCCTGGCAAGCACCTCCGACTTGTTTTCCACAACTTCTACAAGAGATGAGGTCTCTGTTTTCCTAAATCCAGAGGCTCTAATTCCCCCTGTTCTTTATGTCTTCTGAGCTCCTCTCGGAATAAGAAAATTAAATGAGAACCAATGCCCCTGAACTTCACAGGTATCCTAAACCCAGACCTGTAGTTTAGGGCTCATTGCAGCTCCTTACAGCTCTGCTCGTCGCACTGACCTCACCCCCTGGTTTTTGCAGAGAAGGGAGCGAGGCCACACAGTTACCGTCAGGGTTAGAGAGAGATCGCTGCAGCTCCTAGCCTGTTGTTTGGCATGCCAGTACATGTTCCCAGGCCAGACTTCTACAGGGCTAAACTGGTGGGTTTTCTGATTTGCACCAGGTCTAAATTCATGAAGACACATCAACACCCAGAAGTTTAAATTGTATCCTGGGCAAAAATTTAAAAAAGCTCTGGTTATGGATAAATATCCACCTATGTCAAGATTAGAAGTGCAACACGTGGTCCAACCTCACACTGAAGATTATTCAGAAGAAAAATAAATTGAGACCATAAGCAGTAATGTGAAGTACAGCCTGCAGTCAAGGTGGGGATGGGGGCCTGGAAATGCAAAGCTTATCGGCCTGGCTTAGAAAGCCATCGTGTATTTGCATAGCTGCATTCAGGGAGCCTGAGCAGCAGTGACACACAGATGGAGATGCTGTTTTTTCCTACGCGCCTCCGAGGACAGGATTTCCCTTTTCCTCTCCAACCTCAAACATCCCCATCCAAGGAAAAGCTGAAAATGCAATGAGGATCAGCAGCTGGGACCGAGGGTAAAGCTGGGAGGAGAGCTGGCTCCCACTTGCCCAGATCAGCAGAGACCCGGGCTCCAGAGCTGCTCCTCTCCTTGCTCTTCTCTACTCTGGGACGCAGTGGAGACAGCTCAGGGAGTGCTTGGAGCAGATGAACGTGCCCCCGTTCCCTCCTCCACAGAGGAAACCCTCCTGCGCTTCCTCCGCTGCCATCCCCAGCCCCTCCTCGGGCGCTTAGCAAGGCTACAGCTGCAGCCCACCCTGCATAGGAAGGCCTCAGTGCCTTTCAAGGGGAAGCAAGAACAGACTCAGAGCAGCTCTCTGGAGTTTGTGGGTAAGCGAAGCAGTATGAATTTCTACCGTACCTCGCATTGCTACAACCCAAGGCTGCACTGAACGCTGGGGGGGGATGCGGACACATCCAGCCAAAGAGTTCAGCTGCCTCTGGAGCTTTTACAGCTTGATCTATAGGTGCAACTGGTTGTTTCACATCAACCCACTGCCTCTGAGCCAGACCTCAGCCACGAATAACAGGGAGTGTCTGATGCAGACCTGACTGCTCAGTATGAAGGATGGCTGGTGAGCACAGGAGTCCGGTGCCCAAGAAGCAGCTGACTCATGTGATTTTTCACGCTTGCCGTCTGCCAAACCCTTAGGAAGCGTCAGGCTGCGACTGTGGCGGTCATGTAAGAGGAACTTTCATTTTCAGTTTCCTTCTCAATATAGTTTCTTGCAGCGCTTTCTTCTTTTGAAACACGGGACACCGCAGCCCTTTTGCACACATGCACATCTGGGACCAGCAGCTACGTCGCTGTCGGCACGCTGTGGGTCCCCAACCTGCTCCCAGGGGAGGACCCTAAACTCCCATTCCTGCAAACCAAGTGAACGCCCAAGATAGCTCACCGCCAGTCTCTGCTGGGGGTCAAAGTGCTTCGGACCATCCTCTCCAGTATCAAGTGCTGCTGCCCACATTCCTCCTGCTTCCCAGCCCAATGCCCCTTTGCTTTGCCCCGTTCCCCCTTTGTTATGAGAATACCGTACTGGAAGAGAGCAGGGAGGGGCGTGAAGGAGGGTACGACACCCATACACTTAAAGACAGCCCAAGGCTGCAGAAGATGAAGGCTCTCCAGGACTTGAGGCAGGGCTCGAGAGAAGGTTTGGGGGAAGCTGCAGGTTACTGGGAGCAGTGGCTAATTCTCAGCAGCTGCTAAAAGATTCCGCTCCGCCCTGACTTTTTGCTCTTGTAAGAGGCTGCAAAGGGTTAAAAGCAGCAGGCAGCACCTAGGATGTGGATTTACCAACACCTCCAAGAGAGCACAGGAGTCTTATCTTTATAAACCAGCATATGCCATGCAAAGATTCAGCCTTCCCGGAACCTGCCAGGCTTCCCTAATAAAAAAAAAGACCTTTGCCTCAACTGTTTCTCATTTCACCCTCATCTCCTTTGCTTTAAAGGACTCTGACACATTTCCTATGTGTCCTCATGACACACTCACCACTTCTCCCAACTTTTCCCCATAGGAAGGTGCCTGGGTGCAGGGAAGATGGTGGGACTGGCCCAGAGCGGGAGGCAGAATTGCAAGCTGCAGGAGGGGAGAGGATCTGCAGGAGCAGCCATAATCGCTATGAACAAGCCCGGCTATGGGGCTCTGAAGTCACCCCCCGACATGTTATGAAGATCCTGTTCCAGGAAATGCAGGGAGCATCCTCTGGGACGAGCATTTCCCAGGTCTGGTCCTGGGCCTGTGCATGGGAGTGATTCCATCATGCAGCGTGCAGGGCAGCTAACCCTCTCCAGGACAGAGATCCCGCAGGACTCCTGTGCCCTGCTGCCATCCCTGCACGGACAGCGCAGCATCAGCCCCGCTCCTCCCAGCCTGGCCTAGAAGAGCAAACAGGTGAGTTTGCCCAGTTTGGTGTTTACCCACCCAGCACGGCACCAGGGTCCAGCTGGCCCACGAGCCCCAGCAGATGCAGACATTGCAGCCGGGGTGCCCCCACAACCCCGTGCGCCCACATCCTGCAGGTCCCCGGCGCTGCTGGGCGGGAAGCCGTGCAGGCAAGGCTGCAAAGCCACACGTGCCATGTCCGTGTCTGAGGTCACAGGCCAGAGCGGGGTGAAACAGATGTCACCCCGGTCCTCAGCGTGGCACGACTCTTCCCACCAACAGCTCACACAATCCTGCCTACCCTGAATGCCGACACTGAGCGCTGGCACGGGGATGCCGGGTGTGGCTGTCACCACCGCAGCCTCGCAAGGGGGAAAAAAAAACCCAGCTGGAGAAAATATTATTAAAAGAGATAATATTTCCTCTTTGGGGCAACGATCAGCTCAGAGCGAGACCTTTCAGCCCTGGCCCAGTTATTGCACGCACCGGAGTGCTGCTTGCTGCGGTACCCCTGCGTACTTTAACCTTGTTCACCGGGCGGTGCGGGATGAGGCCCTGCGGCTCTGCCCACCCCTCCCGCCTTGCCGGCATCCCGGAGCTCCCGGTGCATCCCTCCCCCCCGGCTCACGGCAGCCTCGGCACCGCCCGGCCGGGCCCGGTGAATAAAGATAACTCATCCCGAGGGAGGCTGGGGGGGTGGAGGGGGGTGTCCCCCCGCTACTCACCGCGTCCCGGCGGG